GTATGATTCACCAATTCTTCAAGATTTAACCGCATTCGAAGCAAACCCAGTTTCTTGCGTACATCGCCATGGACTTCGAATCAAGGAAGGCGGGCCCCACCAAACAGACAGTATCTCTCACATAATGCGGCAATTTTGCTGAGACTGGAGATTCTCCGGGGACCTGCAACATAACGGGAAAATTTGCTAAATTCCATGTTGCATCACAGATGACAAGACACGAGAAATTAATTGCGTATGGTATAACACAGTATACTAAGCAAGGTGGCGTTTTGATTTTTCTGAATCTTTAAGGGTGTGTAAGAGTCCCATTGATAAAATAAGAGAGAACATATGGGTTTATAAGACCATGAGTTAGACTAGCTAATTGGTTGGATTCAATCTTTAGTATGGTTTGACCCATGTAGGGATGTCAATTGTACCCGCACCCGACGGGGAACCCGATTCCCCGCCCCTATGGGGACGGGGATGGGGATAGAAATAGGGGATCGGGGATGGGGATGGGGTAATTTTGAATTCCCCGCCGGGGACGGGGACGGGGATGGGGAGTACTCTCCCTGCCCCGCCCCGTCCCCGATGTATGTATGTATGTATGGGGAGTACACACATATGTATTACTTTGTATACAATATATATAATTTTAGAAGCATTGTTGTCATTGTTTGTCATGCTTATGAAATGCATATTTAAATAACATGTTTAATTGTAAAATATTGAATACTATTTTAAATTGGAGATGAATATATATACGTTATTTATTTAAATGTTTATGAATGATTAATTTTTAATTTTTTTTATAACTTATTAATGGGGTGGGGATTCCCCGTCCCCAAATAATCCCCGTGGGGATGGGGATGGGGGGAGTTTTCCATTCCCCGGCGGGGATGGGGACGGGAACGGGGAATGGGAAAAAAGTCGGGGGCGGGGATGGGGGGTATGTCTCCCGCCCCCACCCCGCCCCGTTGACATCCCTAACCCATGACTATTATAGCCCAGTTGAGTGACCCTGGCCTAATCTTAGTTTCTAAGAAAGGGAGAAGCATATAAAACTGATGGAATATGAAAAATACGGGAGTTCAATTAAGTAGAAATACGTACAGCTGTGCAATACTCGACAAATCGAAATCCGGGGCGAGCTCGTGAACGATATCATTGGGCGGCTGGCCACACTCTTGCATTTTCTGCATAAGCTCAACAACCTTGTTGAAATTATCTGGCTCGGCTTCATAAACTCCAATTAGCTCTTTTATAAGTTCGTACTGGTGCCTGTAACGATCATACTCTTCATTGGTTAATTTAGCTTTGTTTTCTTCTAACCATTTCGGATATCTTTCTTCAATTTCTTTCATGGGTTCGTGAAGAACTTCTTTAGATAAAAGCTGCTGCATCATGGTCTCCACAATAGATTCCATATCCTGCCAAATGAAACAAAAATACGAGAACTCTAAATAAGTTGGCCAAATCGTCAAATGCTAGTCTTCGGCTTAAAGGCTTTCTTAAGAGGTCACGCCCCATTTTTGCTTGGCAACCTAGTTTTTGTTTTGGGATTGCCGTCTACATTGATCAACACAAACATTTGAGCTTAGATTTTAAGGTTTACTAGATTGTTACTTATGCACAATCCCGAACAAGAAGTGCCTTACACGACTCCAAAATGATCAAGTTAGTCATATTCTATTTTGTTAGACTCTATAGATCCTAGCATTGATTATCTAACATTCCAAACCAATATTCCCAGCAAGCGTCAAGGAAAAAAATCTATTCCATCCCACGAGTACCGAAGAAAATATACTAATCAGTACCAAACAAAAGAATATGGAGCTAAAGAGCTAATTCTTATTCACATATTGGGGGTGTTTGGTAAATAGTTGTTAGCTGATTGGGTTAGTGAGTTTGACTAGTTGATAGCATTAGCTGATTGTAGAAAGATATTTGGTAAATTACCTGTTAGCTGATAGCTAATTACATAGAATTTTAGTGTTTTGGAGCAATAAGCTGTTACAAAAAGCTAATTAATCAAACACTCATATTGGTTGTTTAACCAAGTCAAACAGCTAATAGTGGTCAAACAAGCCAAAATTGGCTGATAGGCTAACTATTTAACCAAATAGGGCCATTGTATATCCTAATAGATGCAGATGCAATGACAAGAAACAAAGGAAAATTCTTTCTCAAACTACACCACTCAACGTCAAAGCTACTCCTAGAATAAGAAACAGTCGAGACTCCTTCAACTTTCTAGAAAAGAGACATCGGTTCTCATAACAACACTATGAAACACTGTTAGTAAAAATCACGAGAGTTCAAACATGTAAGGTTCGTTCAATGCCACTCTGGAGCTAAACCGGATAATTGCAGAAGGCCGAGAAATTTACCTGAGACCCAGCAAGCTCCTCAAACTGTTTGACCCAATCCTCCACCATTGCATCAGGCCCAAAATTCTCACCACCGGGCTTTAAACCAGTCGTCGATTCTAACCCCTTCACAGCCTCCCTCGTCTGTTCTCTAAGCTTATCAAGAGCCTCGTTAACATGCGAATCCTTCAACTCCTTGGAATGCTTTTGCTTCCCCTTTTTCTTAGCTCTCAAATCTGGCAACCCCATCCCTAAACCTTGAACCCCCCCAGGCATACGAGCATCGTCTTTCTTCCCCTCTCCATCTTTACTCCTGCAACCCAAAACACAAACACTTACCCATTTTTATCCCATAACTTAATACCAAACTTGCAAAATCCTAATAGTCCCAAAAGCATATATTGGAAACACACAAATCCAAAACTAAAATTCAGCAGAATCCTAACAGTTCCAGAACAATATAAACATAAATGTGCAGTCCAGTCCAACTATTTCAATTTGGTATCGGGCTTTTAGTTGAAACAAATTACATCAATTGTGAAAACACAGAAAACCAAAAACAAAAAAAGTTCACACCTTTGAGCAGAAGAGGTGAGATTGAGGCTCTGAAAATCATCCAAAGCACCTGAAATCATACAATATGATGACTTAAATACTTCACCATAACCTCACAATACATTCAAGATCATGTTTACACGCACACAAAGACGCTAAAGAATCACATAATAAAAGAAGAAAAGCGAAAAGGGGTTGAGGGTTTTACTATCAAGGAGCTGGTCTAAATCATCGCATTGGTCGGTAGCCATGGATTTTTCCCCAAATTTTCTTCTCCGTTCAGCAAAATTGATGAAAAAAATCCAACCCTTTTATCTGAATGGCGATGGGGGCTGGAAAAAAAAAATCTTGGGCAATCAAAAGAGATTTACGGAGGAGGTGTCAGCTGCGGTGTGCGTCATTAGTAGTGACGTCGTTTCTGGCGGAATAACCGATAACCACAACCGTCAATCCAAATTCTAAACAGAAAATTTTGGAAAATATAATGGTAGAAATTAGGAAGTAACAAATTTTTCCTTTTACACTACCTTTACATGTGATTTGGAAACATTGACTTCTGTTCATATTAAAAAACGTTTCTTTATTACGGAGTATTAAATTAAGGAAAAATGATCCTTTTTTGTTTTATTTTTTAAGGAAGGGGATACCCTAGATACACACTATTTGCCTCAAGTGAGGTTCAAACCTTACATCTCCCACTCAGAAGAGCAACCAGATACCAGTGGACTACAAACCACTTGGTCAAAAAAATGATCCTTTAAAAGGGTAAATGCTGCACCTATTATAGAGTAAATACTCGAAATGGTCCTTCGACTATAGCTAAATTCACAAATTAGTCCTCGACTTTTAATTTCAACCAATTAAGTCTTTAACTTTGTAATTTTGACACGATTTGGTCCTCCATCTATTTGACCGTTTGTTGACCGTGATCGACGATCTCCAGAAGAACCTTCAGCTCTCGTCGGAGCACGTGGAGGACTCCAGGATGACGTTGCACTAGTTCAAAAACACGTCGTCTTCTTCGCTCTGGTACAAACTCAACTACATTGAATCCAAAGGGATGATGAAGAAAGGGAACCGGATTTGGTAGATTGCTTTCGACGGTGCATTAAAATGTAACAGTGCGGTTTGGAAATGCAACTAAAACCTTAAAAAATCGACGATGGACCATGAAATTACATATATATCTTCAAAAATCACAGTCAACAAATTGTCAAATAGACAGAAGACCAAATTGTGTTAAAATTACAAAGTTAAGGACTTAATTGGTTGAAATTGAATGTCGATGATCAATTTGTGAATTTAGCTATAGTCGAGGGACCATTTTGGGTATTTACTCCCTATTATATGAAGATGTATTCAGGTATTCTGTGTCACAATGAAAAAAAAAAAAAAAAGATTATAATAATTTATTAATTAATTGAGCTTATAAATAAAAAAAATTTAAATATTAGAGATAAATATGAAAATTTTATTTTTCTTCCTCCTACATTAATTACAGAATGGTGACCCTCTTTATAAGAAAAACATAATCGAGTACCCTTACACCCAAATAATATAAGATTGAAGGAAGGTCACTGGATCGAACTCGGTAGAGGAGTATTAACTCTTTAAATTATAACAGAGATACTCGGCTACGCTACTCTAACCTCATAACACTCTCACTCCAGTTATATAAGATTCAACATCATTCAAATAAGGAAAGTCATGCCTACTCCAACTCATCATGTTCTTGACATTTTTTTGAGGGTGTAATCTAACGTTTCTATCGTCTAACTGACATAGTGACTACTCTTCACTGAGTTGCAGACACTTTTAAGGGTGGGACAACTAGCCTGAGACCAGCTAGAGATCATGTTCTTAACATATTATTCCAATGCCTCTCATGCATCACTTGAGCCAGTCCATATTGCATCCCTAGCCCGGCTTCCTTATCCCGAGCCAGTCCATACTGCCCGGCTTCCTTATCCCGAGCCAGTCCATACTGCGTCCCTAGCCCGGCTTCCTTATCCCGACTATGCTGCTCCAATCTCATAACACTCGCTCAAGACCAACCTTCAGCCTATAATGATATCTGATCATATCTCAGTAGATCCAATACTAAGCAATTTTATTGGTACTATCTTCCAACAATAGTTTAAGGTTCTACAAGTATATAGGATGTTCTCTTCCTCAATAAATGAACAAATGAAATGTACATTTGTATCTGTTGACCATATTCCTTCATAAATTATGACATTACTCTCAAATATCTATCACTAGAAGTAAACAATGGCTGTCAACACAACATAAGTAATGCAGAAAAACAAGGGATTGATTGAGGATTGGTCGTGGGGAATGAGATGAGAGCTTCTTCTTGGGCAACAGTGTTGAGGTTTCTTTCAGAAACACCTCTCGCTGTCTAAGAACTCAGTGCAGAGCTCATGCCCACACTGAACTGTGACAAGAAGCAAAACTTAATATATATATATACATTCTTTCACTATCAGAGTTCGACTTCATGAAGATCCTCGCCAAAACTGCCACTTCTTGAGGAGTGCATTAAAGAAGCGTCGGGGGGCATAAATGATGACGGCGGAGGCATGCCCGGGACCTCACCGAGTGGTTTGGCGTTGGATTTAGGTTCAGGAGATGTAGACTCGTTTAAAGCTCCACTCCAGGATGCTGTTCGCCGTGCGAGAGCTGGAAAGGAACCGGGGACTGTTGGTGCCAACTTATTTGAGAGGTTTCCTGTGCTTCCGAATCTTTGAATAGTCATGTCTGATGGCGGGGGAGGAGACTGGAATGCACCATTGACATGGGAGAAAGAAGGGTGTTCATTATTAGTGGCGATATCCTGTGTGCTGTCAATGGTACTATCAACTGGCTGTTCAGGAGAGGCGACTGGTGCAGGAACAAAAAACTTTTGGGTGGCGGGGTTTGCAGGTTTGGTTGAGGGAACAGAAGGGGACTGGAACAAATTTGTGGCGTTACCACCGCCTTTGTTGAAGGTATCCACATACCTGAAAATGGTGAGGGTATCGTCAATTTCACTAGAGTTAAAATAACCCAAAACATTAACATTACCCACTATTAGCTCCTTAGTTTTATTTTTCAAAATCAGTTGTATGACAATTAACCACCAAGAAAAAGAAAAATCACAAATAGCAAATCCATAATCTGATTTTACCTTGACCGTACACCCGTTCTGCTACGTGCTGAAAACTGATTAGAAGTAGGTGGAAGTGGTGGCATTCCTGAACCACTGTCCATCGGGGCTGGACTCTTCAATTCTGGAGTTCCATTGCTAGAACCTTCATTCTTTAGAGCACTCCGCAAGTTATACTCTGACGGTGCATTCCGCAAGTTATGATCTGATGCTCCATTCTGGAAAGAGGCAGTTGTTGGTGGGGGTGCAATTGCTGGCTCCTCAGCTGGTGGTTCAGCACCTTCCTCGACCCATCTTTTGAGTTTTTCGTCGTAATAGAATTTATTTTGATCACCCAATTTTGCCTACAAAAGCAATGCAAAAGAGAGTAGAGATTAAAGTTAGTGAATTGTGATCACATAATATAGAAGATGCAAAGGAGAATGTTGCAGCAATAAATATCTTGCAGAATCACCTGGCGGCCTTGGCGAGATTTAAGGACTAATCCCATTGTTTTCTGAATAATCTGGGATCCAAAACTGAAGCGACTAAATCGTGATGTACCTCCTCCTGATGCATTTTCTTGCGTTGTACTTGGGGTTGCATCTTTCGGAGGAGACTCAGCCTTGCCCTATAAAGATTTACAAATCCATAATTTCTCTACCCAGGAACAGTTATAATTGACCAAAATCCACCATAAAATACTCAGAAAGCAAACCTGTAGGGAACTTTTTCCAAAGTCAGGTTCTGAAGCGCTTCTATTGTGAAATGTCTTTCTACTGCCATTAGCGGCATAATCACTTATGGGCTCCATAGATGTAGAAGGTACTAATGATGACATTGCCATAGTTGATTGGCTGTTTGAGACTCTAGGTCCCACAGACTGATGAATTTGTTCATTCGCTTGTGTATTGGTACTTGAAGGTACAGGTGGTGGTAGACCCCCAACAACACGGTGAGCAGTACTATCAAAAAGGTTAAGTAATTTACCCACCAATTTTGCTGGGGCTAAATTTGCAGAGAATCCACCCTGTAAAACAAAAAGCTCCACAAGAGTTACCTCCACAGAGTTGATAAAGGACATTCCAATTAAGCAATGGAAACAACAAGGTACCTGCTGGTGAGTTCTTATCCTTTCTTCCAGTGAGGACGATAGTTGTCTCAATGTTTCAACTTCAGGAGCTCGACCAGTTTTGAGTGATTTCAGTAATGCTTGACTGTACCTGAATCAAATTAAATAACAGTAAGCAACCAGAAGTAACAAATTTTAATACTCTGTACAAAACTGAGAAATAATAAAAGGTTTGCATAATATAACACTTAAGACTTGCTCACATACTTTAGTGCATCCGATATCTTCCCAACCTCGGCCAACATGTGAGCATATACAAGCTTGTACGGTTGGAAGGGAAGAAGAATAAACTGAGAGTTCCCAAGAAGCTTTGAATATTCAAATAATTCGGTCCTCTATCCAAATATGCAATCAAATCGGTACATAGTTATTGAGTTATGCAATACCACAGCAACAACAAAATAAAAACCTTACCATTTCTTTTGTGTATAAAGTAAGCACAATTTTTTTTAAAAAAAATGTCAAGTCAGTAGCACCTGAATAGCTTCTGGACTAGCATAAGTTCGGGGGAATTTCCAGTGATCTGCACCAACAAGACACAACCTAGCAGTGTCCGAATATGGTTCAAAATTTGCCTCTGCCACCAGATAGCAAATGTGTGCAGCAACGATCTGAATTGCATTTTATAAAGAGTAAAGAACCAAGTTAGGTTGGAAATTATCATCAAGAACAAGCGGACAATTTAGAGAGTTCCAAGGGTGAAGCATACATCATTTCTCTCTTTCCACAAACAATCTCCAAGGTGAATTAGCACCAGTTCATCATCCTTGGTTCTATTAGCAGTTATCACAGCCAAATTCTCTTCCCAATCATCTAACATGCCATTTGCACCAAACTAGAAGAAAAGTGAAAAGAGAAGGAAGAAATCCAATCATTCCAACCAAAGGTATCCACACTTCAAGTGTCTATAACGAAGTCCCACAGGAACATCAGCTCATAAAAATTAATAACAATAATACCTGTGCAGGTTGCTGAGGGATATTTAGAGCACCAGGCATGACACCATGAGCCATAGTATCCACAGAAAAGACAGCAGCTGGTTGACCAGCAATTAGAAGGCACAATGTCCTCAAAGGTGTCCCGGGGACTAGTTGTCGTAGTGCCATTTGTTTCACTGTTTCAACATAGAACTACAATGAAAAGGAACAAAAGTCAGGAGAAAGAGAGGAAGATAGAGATAAAAGAATATACCTGAAAGAGAGCTTTTGCTATTCCCATTCCGTTTTTTGGTTTTAGGTTTATATTTTTCTGGCTGGGTGGGTGGGGTGGGTCATGCGTGTGGTTATAACTTACCTGCTCACCAAGTTGTGCCGCAAGAATAAGAGCAGGTCCCCATAACTGACCCTCTTGTGCACATTGTAATGCTTCTTTCTTTCTACCAGAAACCAGAAGACTTTGAACCTCAGTAGCAGTAGCCTAAGCATATATTGGAAGAGAGAATTAATGGGGAAGGTGCTAATTAAGACAATAATATATAAAAACAACAGCAAACTATTAAATAATTTTTATAAAAGACAAACCTGCATCTGTCCTTCAGACGGCAATTGTTGCACACAACGAGTAGCGGCACCATATTGATTGAGTAGCACACTGCTTTTGGCAGATGCAAAAAGTTTCGCTACAGCGGTTTCCGGAGAATCACTTCCCTGTTAAATGAAAAACTCACCTTAACCCCAAATGGCTAAAATAGACTACATTAATCCAATTAAAAAGTTTTCAATTAGAGTAACCAGAGATTCAATCACAGAAAGAATTCTGTAAACATGTACCAACACAACTCACACAAGCTATCAGAAGCAAGTGACATCAGAAATTTCGTCTAAGCATCAGAACCTTAGTGGTGCAAACCTTGTTACTATATGATTCACTTACTCTAGTGACAAAGTTGCAAGTATGAAAAAGTAAAAAACAAACAGACATACAACTATGATGTTATATATATATATATATATATATATATATATATATATATATATATATATATATATATATATATATATATATAAGCATCAGAACCTTAGTGGTGCAAACCTTGTTACTATATGATTCACTTACTCTAGTGACAAAGTTGCAAGTATGAAAAAGTAAAAAACAAACAGACATACAACTATGATGTTATATATATATATATATATATATATATATATATATATATATATATATATATATATATATATATATATATTAAAATTCCTCAGCCACTTGTTTTCAGATGTAATGCAATTTCTTTTTCATGTGTTAGACACATGTTGTGTGTGTCAGTTTTGAATGCATATTTATGTCTATGATGTTAAATACTTCCAAATGAATGGAAAATGGTAAGCATACTATAAGGGAGTTTTCAACACATCCTGATTCTATAGGAAGAAGAACAGATAAAGTAAAAAATATTGCCCTTTTTATGGATCAATCAAAGCATGCCACTCCAGCAAGGAGTAAAAAAGAAATAAAAAGTGGGAGTACATGAAGTATTAATCCAAATGAATCAAGTGCAATATGAATGGAGAATTATGGGGTGTTACCTTAATTGCAGCATCAGTACCAAATGGGGAACGGAGTTTTCCATAATACTGACAACCTATTTTTAACAGAGATAGTAGCAACTTCAAAACTTCAACTTTCCTGTAATCCAAATCGGGAGATCCTGAATGCGCAATCCTGTCATCAATCCATTTGTTCAATTCCTTACTACCAACGCTTCCACCTACTAGTGGTCCAGGGAAGGATTGTCTGAACAGAGTTCGCAAATAACTGCACGTGCCAGTCCCAACACTCGAATCCACCCTCTCAGTCACAATGTCAATCAAGTCAAGCACAGATATAGAACCTCCTACAGGATTCTTCACATAATATACACAAATTCTTTCAGTATTCAGCATGAGTCATTCAAGAAAATTAAAATGAAAACAAAAGCACACTAATAAAAATAATTAAATAGAAAAAATAAAAACAATTAGAGGACTAACCTCATTTCCAAAAGAGGAGTTTCCTAAAGAACTATTATGTTTCATCAAAATAAGCTTTCCACCAAAACCAAAAGTAACCAAGGCGTGTGGGGGGCGCCCTGCAGATGACCTCTCCGCACCGGGAGCATAAGTGAACTGCTGAGTGCTTTGAAATGGTTGTGAGAAATTAAATGAAGTATGATTCCCTAAATATTCACTTGAGGAATGCTTGTGATCATTTTGCTCAATACTTGGTTGATGGAATTGTTGATTGAAGCTTCCCGTAGAAGCAAGGCCTTGTGACCTCGCTAATAATGGAAACTCACTTTGAGTTTGATTTGCATTCCCATGATATATACCTGTTTCCTCATAATTGTTTGCCGTCGGCTGAGAAAACTGGTTGGTAGCAGAATAATCGTGCCCATAGTTGTTCTCCACTTGTTGGTTTCCCTTGTATTCTTGCATAGGCTCGCTATTAACAACGCACTGAGTTTGCCATGTACTAGGTGTCTGTTGATTATAATGACCAAAAGATCCAGACCAGTTGTTGCCTAGAGCTTTACTACTAAACTGTTGACCGCTACTGGAATCAGCTTGTCCAAATGCACCATGAATCATTTGTTCATCATTTTGTGAAAAAGTCATGGATGAAGCATAACCATTCTGATTTGGCTGATTCTCAGCTTCAATGGCTAATTGAGAAGACCTAGCATACGTGTCGAGAGAACGCCATTCTTGAGCAATTGTATCATAATACCAGCCAGGGTAGTTAGGATCAAATATCATATGTGATGGGTAACCGTTGTTTACTAATGAAGTCTGATTCCAATCAGTCACCATTTCATTGGCCTGTGAAACCTGATTCCAATTAGTGACATTTTCGGTTGTCCCGCTCTCAGTTTGAGTCCCTGCAGCAGACTGAGCAGTTTGCTGCAGATATGAAATCTCCGTCTTCCCATTCTCCCAATTAGCAGATAAACTAGGGTCATAGCTCCCCTGTACATTAGCTCCTGCCTCATAGTTATCCACATGATACCACTGCCCAGTATTTGGATCATACTTCCATCCTGGATAAAGACTTTCCCAATACTGAGTGCTATTCAGATTCTGGCCATCCACAGCTGGATCGGTAGCTGCACCGTAGTCATAGTCTTGTTGATATTGTGCATAAGAATTTGAAGTATTTAAATATGCAGAATCATGCCCTTGGTCAGCTGAAACATTCTTAGACTCTATATTCGCATTTATCTCAGCACTACCACCAACTTCACTAAAGAAGTCTGAGAAAGATCCAAAACCACCAGAATCAGCATTAGAACCAGAACCAGCATTAAAAGCACTCCATCCCACCTCCTTCACACTTGAATGCCCATGCCCAGATCCACTGCTCTTATCAACTGCTGCATCAGAAGCAACTTCATCTGCTAAATTTCCATTACTACACTCACCCAAACTATTAAGACCAGCCGAATTCAGTGGGTCTAAGGAAGCACTTCTCTCAACTACATTTTCCTCCACCAATGTCCCCGGTTTAACATCATCAGGAATAAGTGCCCCTTCATCCCCACCATCTCCAATCCCAGTTTCCCAACCATCTGTTTCATTATTCCCATTATCATTGATATCACTTAAACTCAGATTGGCAAAAGCCTTGGCCTCATCAGATTCATCCCCATCAAAACTCACCTGACCCGTCACCGGCGCCACAGCCTTGAAATCGCCATCATCCTCATCATCCACCAGCTTGTCAAAGAAATCCTCATCCGTCTGATCCTCCACCTGAAATGGAGGATTCGAAGCCATCTGTTCAATTCACTCAAGCTCCAATCTTAACAAATCGCTACAGATTCCACCACACACTCTAATTTCGAGCTTTCCCCAATCAGATCCGAGCTCAAAATCCAACGTCGCACACAGACCTCGCAAACCGACATCTAGGGTTCTTCATCTTCGAACAAACCAAACCAAACCAAAACCAAACGAAAATTTTCAGAACAAAAACGCTTGCTCATATCAACAAAGCGCCATAGAAAACGAAGAATCTAAAATTCAAACGCAGCACGTGAACTGATTAACTTACAGATCGAGATGCATGTACCTCTGCAAATCCGGCGGCACGTATATATAAATCCGTTCGTCTATGTCTCTATATACAAATTAACACACATATATGTATATGTCGCATCTACAGACACAGGCAAAGTAAGACGAAAGACAACTCTATTTCACACAAGGATCTCAATTCTCAGAACACACGACCTCCTCAACCCAAAAACACCATTTTTTTCATTATTACAGTAATTCTGTATTATTAATTACACCGCATTAAAGTATTTAATAATAACTTCATTTTTATGTTTTTTTTTTTTTTTTTTTGGAAGAAACTTTGACTTTTTGTCAAATTTTTGCATAAAATCTTATATGATAGGATTCACAAGTTCGATTCTTACTAACTTCAAATACTTTTTGAGTTGAGTATATCCCATAGAACTTTTTAACACAATACATACTATCAGAAATTGACAATAAATTTTTTCGTCACCAAAAAATAAGAATTAATAAAATTAAATCTAATTGTATATTTTTTTTTAAGAATGGTCAAATAAGTTATTAATTCAATATGTCATCTAACTACAAAAAACAAAAAAAAAAAAAAAAAACAAAAAAAGGGTAATTGATCCCCAAACAAGCCAAACTCAATATTCAATTGCTCCCAATAAAAAGGCTAATATGACATTTGAGATTTTAAAAAATAATTTTTCTCCCTTTTTTATTTGGGATGACATGGATGAGTTTTAAATCTAAAAAATTAAATAATAAATAAATATTAAATCGAAGACAACCACATCAACTACCTTTATCTAGCCATTCCCTTTATTGTCTTCAACGCGAGATGAAGGTCTATTTACCTCATTTGTTTCTTACCTTAGGTTGGGATTATCCCAGTCAATATATCCATTTGCTAGATGATGTGACATTCGCCACATCATTTAACTATATTTTTTTATTAACAGGATTTGCAAATCTTGTAGCTGCGACAACTTTTGTACTTTTTTTTTTAAATTTCTTTGACCTTTTAATATTTTAATGTGATTAATATAAATTAATAATGTTATTTTAACATATTGGAGCCCACTTTTAAAAATTGATTGGATTTGCAGTGATTAGTGTAAATAATAAATGATTTGTAAATTGAGTGACGTGAGAGTGGAACCCATTTTTTAAAGTGGGAGAGATTTGCAGAGATAAGGATAACTTTAAATAAACAAATATCTCTATTTGATTGTCTTCAACAAAGGCAACAATAGAGAATGACTAGATTGATGGAGGCCATCGATATGGTTACCTTCAATATAAGATATTTGATTTGATCACACAAAATTAGGAGTCATTGCAATTTTGTTAAGTGGTCAAATTACAATTTTGTTTATAGTTCAATAATACCTTCAGTTACTCATAAGATGTAACACAACTAAAATGTAACACACATGAAGTTGTTCAACAAGTATACATTGACTAATGCAAGAACCATGTTGGATCTAAAAGATTATTTGCTATTTTATTGAAAATATGACCTTTCCAAGGATTGTTCAAACTTCTTATCCCATATAGGATGTGTTATCCTCAATAAATGAACAAATGAAATGTACATTTGTATCTGTTCACCATATTGCTTCATAAATTATGACAAAACTCTGAAATAACAGGAGCTAAGCTTTTCAAGGGACGAACAAAAACCTATCACTAGAAGTGAACAATGGCTTTCAACACTGAAAGGTCGGCCGTGTGGGGGGGATTGGGCAACAGTGTTGTTGGTTTCTTTCAGAGCTCGATGCCCACCATATTGAACTGTGACAAGAAGCAAAACTTAGTATATACATTCTTTCAGTATCAGAGTGCAACTTGATGGAGACCGTCGCCAAAACTGCCACATCTTCTTGAAGGGGCGAAAGAAGTGTCGGTGGGAATGAATGATGGTACGTCGCCAAGTAGTTTAATGTCGGATTTACATTCAGGAGATGAATCGTCACTGAAACTTCCACTCCACGATGCTGTTCGCCGAGCATGAACTGCAAAGGAGGTGGGGGCTGCGGCTGCTGCTGCTGCTGCCGCAGCATTATTTGAGAGGCTTCCTGTGCTTCCAAATCTTTGTTTAGTCATGTCTGATGGTACACGAGGAGGCTGGAATGAATCATTGACGAGGGAGGGAGAAGCAGAAGGATTGTCATTATTAGGTGAAGTATCGTGTATGCTGCTGTCGGGGGAACTATCAACTGGCTGTTCAGAAGAGACAACTGGTGCAGGAACAAAAAACTTTTGGGTGTGGGTGGCAGGTTTTGTTGAGGGAGCAGAAGGCGAGTGGAACAAATTCGTTGCGTTACCACCACCCTTGTTGAAGGTATCCACATACCTGAAAAAGGTGAGAGTGTTGTCATTTCACTACTTTGTTTGAGTTTCAATAAGCCAATAGCAATAACATTACACATTTTAGCAGCTTAATGTCATTTTTCAAAATCAGTTGTATGAAAATAATCCCCAAGAAAAAAACAAAAATTACCAAATGCAAGTCTATAATCTGAGCTTTACCTTGACCGTACACCCGTTCTGCTACGTGCTGAAAACTGATTAGAAGAAGTAGGTGGAAGTGGTGGCATTCCTGAACTGTCCCCCAAAGCTGGACTCTTCAATTCTGGAGTTCCATTACTAGAAGGACTTTCATTCTTTAGTGCATTCCGCAAATTATAATCTGAAGCTCCATTTTGGAAAGAGGCAGTTGTTGGAGGGGGTGCAACTGCTGCTTCCTCAGCTGGTGGTTCAGCACCTTCCTCAACCCATCTTTTGAGTTTTTCGTCATAATAGAATTTATTTTGTTCACCCAATTTTGCCTACAAGAGGTATGCAAACGGAAAGAGAAAATTAATGCGGAAGATTAAGGTTTGTGAATTGTGATCGCATAATATAGAAGATGCAAAGCAGAATGTTGCAGCAATAAATATCTTGCAGAATCACCTGGCGACCTTGGCGAGATTTAAGGACTAATCCCATTGTTTTCTGAATGAGCTGGGATCCAAAACTGAAGCGACTAAATCGCGACGTTCCTCCTCCTGATGCATTTTCTTGCGTTGTACTTGGGGTTGCATCTTTCGGAGGAGACTCAGCCTTGCCCTATAAAGATTTACAAATCCATAATCTCTCTACCCAGGCACAGTTATAATTGACCAAAATCCACTATAAAGTACTCAGAAAGCAAACCTGTAGGGAACTTTTTCCAAAGTCAGGTTCTGAAATGCTTCTATTGTGAAATGTCTTTCTACTGCCATTATCGGCCAAATCACTTATTGGTTCCATAGATGTAGAAGGCACTAATGATGACATTGCCATTGTTGATTGGCTGTTTGAGACTCTAGGTCCCACAGACTGATGAATTTGTTCATTCGCTTGTGTATTGATACTTGAAGGTGCAGGTGGTGGTAGACCCCCAACAACACGGTGAGCAGTACTATCAAAAAGGTTAAGTAATTTACCCACCAATTTTGCTGGGGCTAAATTTGCAGAGAATCCGCCCTGTAAACAGAAGCTCCACAAGAGTTACCTCCACAGAGTTGATAAAGGACGTTCCAATTAAGCAATGGTAATAACAAGGTACCTGCTGGTGAGTTCTTATCCTTTCTTCCAGTGAGGAAGATAGTTGTCTCAATGTTTCAACTTCAGGAGCTCGACCAGTTTTGAGTGATTTCAGCAATGCTTGACTGTACCTGAATCAAATTAAATAACGGTAAGCAACCAGAACTAATCAATTCTAATACTCGGTGCCAAACTAAGAAATAATAAAAGGTTTATATAGTATTGAAATACTAAATGCCTGCAAACATACTTTAGTGCATCTGATATCTTCCCAACCTCGGCCAACATATGAGCATATACAAGCTTGTAAGGTTGGAAGGGAAGAAGAATAAACTGAGAGTTCCCAAGCATCTTTGAATATTCAAATAATTCGGTCCTCTATCCAAATATGCAATCAAATCAGTATATAGTTATTGAGTTATGCAATACCACAGCAACAACAAACTGAAAACCTTACAATTTCTTATTTGTCAAGTAAGCACAATTTTTTTAAAAAAATGTCAAGTCAGTAGCACCTGAATGGCTTCTGGACTAGCATAAGTTCGGGGGAATTTCCAGTGATTTGCACCAACAAGACACAACCTAGCAGTGTCCGAATATGGTTCAAAATTTGCCTCTGCCACCAGATAGCAAATATGTGCAGCTACAATCTGAATTTCAATTTTAAAAGAGTAAATAACCAAGTTAGGTTTGAAATAATCATCAAGAACAAGCGGACAGCATAGAGAAGTCCAAGGGTGAAGCATACATCATTTCTCTCTTTCCATAAACAATCTCCAAGATGAATAAGCACCAGTTCATCATCCTTTGTTCTATTAGCAGTTATCATAGCCAAATTCTCTTCCCAATCATCTAACATGCCATTTGCACCAAACTAGAAGAAAAGTGAAAAGAGAAGGAACAAATCCAATCATTTCAACCAAAGATATCCACACTTCAAGTGTCTATAACAAAGTCCCCATAGGAACATCAGCTCATAAAAAATAATAACAATAATACCTGTGAAGGTTGCTGAGGGATATTTAGAGCACCAGGCATGTAACCATCAGCCAAAGTACCCGCAGAAAAGACAGCAGCTGGTTGACCAGCAATTAGTAGGCACAATGTCCTCAAAGGTGACCCTGGTACAAGTTGTCGAAGTGCCATTTGCTTCACAGTGTCAACATAGAACTGCAATGATGAATAACCAAAAGTCAAGGGAGAGAGGAAGAGAGAGATACAAGACTACACCTGAAAGAGAGTTTTTATTCTTCTCATTCCCTTTTTTTGCTTTTAGGTTTCTCATAATTCAAGTGGGTGGGTGGGGTGGGTGTCATGATAACTTACCTGCTCACCAAGTTGTGCAGCAAGAACAAGAGCAGGTCCCCATAACTGACCATCTTGTGCACATTGTAATGCTTCATTCTTTCTACCAGAAACCAAATGTCTTTGAACCTCTGCAGCAGTGGCCTAATGCAGATATTGGGAAAAAGAATTGATGAGAAAAGTGCTAATTGAGAGAATAATATATAAAAATAACGGAAATCTGTTAAATAATTTATATAAAAGACAAACCTGCATCTGCCCTTCAGAAGGCAATCGTTGCACACATTGAGTAGCGGCACCATATTGATTGAGTAGCACACTGCTTTTGGTAGATGCAAACAGTCTAGCAACTGCAGTTTCTGGAGCATCACTTTCCTGTTAAATGAAAAACTCACCTTAACCTCAAATGGCTTAAATAGACTACATTAATCCTATTACAAAAATTTCAATTAAAGTAACCAGAGACTCAATCAGCAGAAAGAATCATGTAAATAAGTACTTAAACAAGTGGCATTGGATATTTTTTATAAATATCAAAATCTTAGTGATGCACAAACCTTGTTACTTTAAACAACCAAAAATACTGAAAAAGGGAATATATTAAAAAATCTTCAGCTAGTCGTCTCCAGAGTTCAGATGTAATGCTATTTCTTTTTCATGTGTCAGACAAAGCGTGTGACAGTTCTGAATACATATTTATGTCTATGATTTTAAATACTTCCAAATGAATCACGTGCACTATAAATGGACAATTATGCAGTGTTACCTTAATTGCAGTATCAGTACCAAATGGGGAACGGAGTTTTCCATAATACTGACAACCTATTTTTAACAAAGATAGTAGCAACCTCAAAACTTCAGCTTTCCTGTAATCCAAAACAGGAGATCCTGAATGTGCAATCCTGTCATCAATCCATTTGTTCAATTCCTTACTACCAACACTTCCACCTACTAGTGGGCCAGGGAAGGATTGTTGGCACAAAGTTCGCAAATAACTGCTTGTGCCAGTCCCAACACTCGAATCCACTTTCTCAGTCACAATGTCCACCAAGTCCAGCACAGAAATAGAACCTCCTCCAGAATTCTTCAGATAATATACACAAATGCTTTCAGCATTCAATGTGAGTCATTCAAGAAAATTAAAATGAAAACAAAAGCACACTAATAAAAATAATTAAATTGAAAAAAATAAAAACAATTAGAGGACTAACCTCATTTCCAAATGAGGAGTTTCCTAAAGAACTATTATGTTTCATCAAAATAAGCTTTCCACCAAAACCAAAAGTAACCAAGGTGTGTGGGGGACGCCCCGCAGATGACCTCTCTGCACTGGGAGCATAAGTGAACTGCTGAGAGCTTTGGAATGATGGTTGTGAGAAATTAAATGAATTTTGATTCCTCAAATATTCACTTGAGGAATGCCTGAGTTCATTTTGCTCAATGGTTGGTTGAAGGAATTGTTGACTGAAGCTTCCAGTAGAAGCAAGGCCTTGTGACCTTGCTAATAATGAAAACTCACTTTGACTTTGATTTGCACTCCCATGATATATACTTGTTTCGTCATAATTATTTGTCATCGGCTGAGAAAATTGGTTGGTTGCAGAATAATCATGCCCATAGCTGTTCTCCGCTCGTTGGTTTCCCTTGAATTCTTGCATAGGCTCACTAGTAGCAACACATTTAGTTTGCCATGTATTAGGTGTTTGTTGATTATAATGACCAAAAGACCCAGACAAGTTGTTGCCTAGCCCTTTGCTACTGAACTGTTGACCAATAGTGGTATCAGCTTGTGCAAATGCACCATGAATCATTTGTTCATTGTTTTGTGAAAAAGTCATGGATGAAGCATAACCATTCTGATTTAGCTTATTCTCACCTTCAATGGTTGATTGAGAAGAATTAATATACGTGTCGAGAGAACGCCATTCTTGAGCAATTGTATCATAATACCAGCCAGGGTAGTTAGGATCAAATATCATATGTGATGGGTAGCCATTGTTTACTTGTGAAGCATGATTCCAATCAGCCACCATGTTGTTGGCCTGTGCAACCTGATTCCAATTAGTGACATTCTCAGTTGTCCCACTCTCAGCTTCAGCCCCTGCAACAGACTGAGCAGCAGTTTGCTGCAGATATGAAACCTGTGTCTTCCCATTCTCCCAATTAGCAGATAAATTAGCGCCATAGCCCCCTTGTACATTAGCCCCTGCAGCATAATCCACTTGATACCACTGCCCAGTAATTGGATCGTACTTCCATCCCGGATAAAGATTTTCCCAATACTGACTGCTATTCAGATTCTGGCCATCCACAGATGAATCGGCACCTGCACCATAGCTGTAGTTCTGTTGATATTGTGCATAAGAATTTGAAGTATTGTTTTGGGTCGAGGGGAGGGTGGCAACCCCAAAAGAAACCATTCCAGAATTTGAAGTATTTAAATATGCAGAATCAGGCACTTGGTCAGCTGAAACAATCTTAGGCTCAATATTCACATTTTCGTCAGCATCTCCAGAACCATCCCCCAATTCAGTAAAAAAGTCTGAATAAGATCCAAAACCAGAATCACCATTAGAACCAGGAACAGCATTAAAAGCACTCCACCCCACCTCCTTCACACCTGAATGCCCAGATACACTGCTCTTATCAACTGCTACATCTGAGGTAATGTCATCCGCTAAATTTCCATTACTACACTCACCCGAACTATTAAGACCGGCTGAGTACAGTGGGTCTAAGGAAGCACTTCTCTTAACTACATTTTCCTCAACCGACGATCCCGGTATAACATCATCAGGAATAAGCATCCCTTCATCCCCAACATCTCCAATCCCAGTTTCCCAACCATCTGTTTCATTATTCCCATTGTCATTGCTATCACTTAAACTCAGATTGGCAAAAGCCTTGACCTCATCGAATTCATTCCCATCCACACTCGCCTGGCCCGACGTCGGTGCCACAAGCTTCAATTCCCCATTGTCGCCGTCGTCATTCACCAGCTTGTCGAAGAAATCCTCGTCCGTCTGATCCTCCACATGGAATGGAGGATTCGAAGCCATCTGTTCAATTCACTAAATATCTAACCTTACCAAATCGCTGCAGATTCCGAAACACACTCAAAATTCGAGCTAGCCCGAATCCGATCAGAGCTCAAAATCCAACGACACACGCAGACAAAATCCTCGCAATCCGACATATAGGGTTCTTCAACTTCGAACAAACCAAAACAAAACGAAAATTCTCAGATAACAAAAAAACAAAAAACGCTTGATCAAAGTGCCATAGAAAACGAAGAATCAAAAATTCATACGTAGCACATGGACTAATTAACTTACAGATCGAGATGCATGTTATCTCTGCAAATCCGGCGCCATGAACACACGTATACACATTAGTTCGCCGTTCTATACATATATCAACGTAATGTATCTATAGACGCAGGCATAGTAAGACGAAAGACAACTCTATTTCCCACAATGATCTCAATTCTCAACTCATACGATTATTCTTTTTTGTTTATTACCGAGTACTATTTCCTGTATTATTAATTATTTAAGTAAAGTAATTTCTTTTTGTGAAATAAAGTAATTTCCATTTTTAATTTATCCCATTTTTGTGCAAAAATTTATATCATATGATTGGCACTATTATATAACTAAATCAATAATACAATGTTAAATCAAATAGTATATAACGAATAATGTCTAAATAAACAAGAGTATGTTACAATCTGTTGCATTTCTTTGTATTTGTATAATAATTAGTGACAAGTCTCAAATACACATTGATAACAAATGATTGACGCTTTTACAAAATATTTTATTAATTGCTTATCAGTACAATAAAAAGGTATATCATCTAATAGAGACACAATTATATTTGCGTAATCTTAACATTCAACATCACATCTCAATTGCACACTAGTGGTAGAGTGTTATACTTTGCCTTCCAAGTTTTTATCCACCAGTGTAATTATTACTCTATCATAATTTAATTTTATGTCCTCACGAGTTTGATAAACAAAGGACAATAATCTACCTATGTCTTTCAACTTCCGAAAACTTTTCAATGTTAAATACTAATAATGCTATATACTAAAATAGTAAGACATTTAATACATCTATAATTTGACAAAATTAAAGGTTTCATACCATCTTATTTCACATTACATAATGTATTCTATATATTGCGATTGATAATGTTCATTATCAAATACTGTTGTGTTAAGTCCAATTGTTTTATTGTTGATTAAATATAACAATTTATAGACTTCGTCCTTGATACACAAAATTTATTTGGAGTTCAAGAAGTCGAAATGTGTTCGTAGATCGGGAAATATTAAGGATCGTTTTTAAGTTAAAATTCGTATTGCTTTGTAGAGCAAGTTGACTTTTATAATGTGGGGAATGAACAAATAGTGAAGTGCTTGTTCAAAAGAAAGGCATGGTACTTGCTCATATGCTATTTATGCCAATTACACCACGTGTTGGTATTGAATTGAGAGGGCGCTTCATGTACAACTTGCCCATCCAGTCACGTCCACTTTCCAACCTAAAAGGTCAAAAAGCGCACTACAAAGGTAAAAATGATTGGTAACTGTCATATACACTTTTTATAATTCTCATCAAGGCTATTAGTAACAAATCAACATGAAACTCAAATCACTTAAAATATTTAATATATTTTTTTTAAAAAAAAAAACTTAAAATATTTAATATAATCTTTGTGACACTCAAACATCTTGACCTCAACCCCAACAATTTTAAAAAATTGGTAAACAAAAGTTTGTCTTAGACAAAATTTCAAATTTGTTATAATGTAGGGAAAAAAAACTAATATAGTAATTTTGAAGTATTTTTTGCTTACCGTCCCAACATAATATTAGTGGTTAACATCAATATTACTATTTCAAACATAATGTATCGATCATATGGAATAAATATTATTCGTATGTATAAGTTAAATTGTAATATAAAAAAAAAAAAGGTGAAATACATTGGGATGCAGAATAAATAAGACAAAATTTTATTGTTGGAAAAAAAGTGGTCATCCTCCGATAGATTTGTTAGATTTGCCGCCAATAAATAGAAAGTTGTTGAGAGTTAGTACAGTTGCAAATCAAGGCAAACTTTTTAGCTTTACTAGTGACGTGTCAGTGCCATGTGGAGTACCATGAAGCGATTCTAACATTATTTAAAAACGGAATTCTAATTAAAATTCTTCCAAAAGGCTGAACTCCACACCTCTACCCGACAGAGCATTTGGGAGGATGTAAATCATGGTAACTCAACTGAACAACTGAACATGAATCACAGAGGTTAGACCGTACTCACTGCGCACAAGGAACCCCCTCACTTTGAGAGGTGAGACTCAACCCCTGGTCATTCTTCCAAAGTTTCATCTCTGTGACCAGTTGAGCTATCCATGCGGGTGGAATTTTAATTAAAATTATTTATATATATATATATATATATATATATATATATATATATATATATACACACACGGGAGATCAAATGTGAAGGGAGTTCCCAGGTAAAAAATTGATGAAATCTCAGTCATAAATCTAGTCAAAATCAACTGTCCAAAATTAAAAATAATTTTAAAAAAATTTGTGGCATTATAGTAATTTTGCGTAAGTTCAGGCCTTAAGGTGCGTAAGTTTAAAGAGTAAGGTACGCAAGTTTATAGTTTAATGTGCGTAAGTTTATAGTTTTAGGTGCCTATGTTTAAAGCTTAAGGTGCGTAAGTTTATAGTTTAAGGTACGTAAGTTTATAGCTTAAGGTGCATACGTTTATAGTTTAAGGTGTTTAAGTTTATAACTTAAAATGCATAATGTCAGAGCTTAAGGTGAGTAACTTTATAGTTTAATGTGCGTAAGTTAATAATTTAAAGTGTATCAATTCATAGCTTAAGATGTATCGGTTCAGAACCATGTTACCTTGAAGCGCGTTTTTTAAAAATATTTCTTTATTTTGAATCGTTAATTTATATTAGATCAACAATTCAGATCTCAACTCATCTCCTTTAATTTCAGAAACGATTATGACGATTTGTGGGCAATAACCCAATTAGCAAATATACAAATAAAATAAAATAAAATAAAAAGAATGATAAACTAGATCAAGTACGTGCTAAACTCATTGTGTGATTAGCTAGCTCATATTTGGCTGTCATACAAATACACCAAATTTATTTTGTCCAATTTGGCTTAATCCCAACCATTAATCCTCCCATGCTGCATCCATGTGGCTTCCATCTAAGCAATCCAAATCTTTGTTTATTTATTTCTACTAGTTAAAGGTCAACGTAAATTTGAACGTGTTGTAATGATGATTAAAAGTAGACAGACACAAATTTCGATTATTAATTTTTCAAAAATATTAGTAATTTTTTATAAAGTTGGAGATAGACTTAATCCTTAGTTGCACTACTAACAAAAGCGGCTACAGATAATGTAAAATTTTGTAGCCACGTTATCATCTTATTGGAGCTACAAATGCTCATTGTAATAAAATGCATGTAATTACTTTTGTATCATCAGACAAGTACAAACATGTTGATCAAATTCAACATCATTTATGGAAAACAAATGTACACAACTGTCAACCTGCATAAGTTGTTGGTTGTGCCAAACACAAAGTTGACATAATATAATGACATTGATGGTGAAACCTTAGAAGTAGTACGATGTTACAACTATCACAAATAGAAATGAAAAGAGTAACATGCACTGATGCACGAGCAGCTCAGTTATTTTTGGATAATAAATTGTAAGTAAGAGTAAAAAAAAAAGATATAATAAATAGTCGGAATTAAAGTTATCTTGAGTAAATTATTCCGCTTAGGGGAAAAGAATTGACAGTCCACTACACTAAAGTGCAAAAAAAAAAAAAAAAAAAAAAAAAACCAAACTTTGGTTCCAAAAATTCCAAAAGAAAAATGATAGATGTAATTTTACCGTTTTACCCTTAACGCAATACGACTCCAGTAAAATTTGCAGTTGCTCTAAAAATACAGCTCAACTGGTTTCTGAGTTTTTCACCCCAAGATTTCTGAGTTTTTCGCCGGCGCCGGCGCCGGCGTTCACCGTCTTGTTTCTATGAGCGGTTCTGTGACTACCCAATGCCTGTGAGCATTTGAACACTCCGTTGCAAATCTCACACCGGAAATTCTCTTTATCCTTGGACTTTTTTCTCCGTTTCATCGTCCCGGAATCTCCCCGGACATCGTCGGAAAGCATCAGAAGACACATAGCTATGTTCTCTTCAAGTTTCGCCGTTTTCCCCATTTCCTCCTCGTTCTTAGCTCCTTGATCCGCTGATTCTTCGTTTTCCTCTGATACAAACAACCTGCGAGCTCGCTTGGATCTTCCCTGAGCTGGTTTCCCGGTCGGGTCAACGCCGCCGGAATCTTGCTTTTGCGGCGGAGTCATCGGTAACGGCGCAAAATGGGACCTCATGTGCCCTCCCAAAGCTTTACCATTTGCAAACTCCTTCCAACATAGCTTACACTTTTGCTTCTCCATAGCCATTATCCTTAATTGCCAAATTACAGACCCAACGATATGATCGAAGAAGAGTGTATATATACATATATAATACTCCGTATGTGTTTAGAACAAATTGCACTTTTGGTCCTGTGAGTATTAGAGTACTGACAATTTGAGTACGTGACTTTCAAAACTCTCAATTTAAACCTTTAACTATGCAATTTTTGGTAGATTTGGTCCTCCGGGCCAAATTGCCGACCAATTTTGGCCGGAAAAATTAAAATTATTTTTAATTATTTAATTATGAGGGCAAATTGGTCATTTTAGAGTCTTCTTCTTCATTCACCCCTTCTTCTTCGTTCTTCTTCTTCTTCATCCTTGCACTGGGAGCCCGGTGGTGGATAGAGAGAATTGTGCCCCTTCGATTTGGCCCCCGTCACCTCCACCGCTATCCAGATGGTGTTCGGAGACATGGTGGCGATTGCGTTGATGGCCCCCGAAAAATTTGAGCCGCGACGAGTACGCCTCTAACCACTCCTCTGGCAGGATTGGCAAGAGCTTGATCTTCAAGGTGAGGCAATTTTTCTCAAACCTTCATCGCTTATGAAATGTGAACATAAGATTTGATCGGAATTCGCTTATCTATTGATTTGCCTGTTTGGATTTGGTTTCTTTGATAGAATCCTGTTCATATTTGTGCTTAGAAATTCTGATTATTTGATATAGGGTTAAGTTTTGCAATAAACCTTAGAAATGAAATCTTTTCAATCCAGTTCATTAAATTATATGGAAGAAAGTTAACAGGGAAGTTTAATCACATGAAGAGTTAGTTTATGATCCTATAGATTTGATTGCTATTGGAATACATTTAGAATTTTGTTCTGTTGAATACTTGAATTGATGAATAAACGAACACAGATTGAAGAATTCTGTGTATCTATAGGAAGGAAAAACTAGACTTGACAGAAGATACTCTTTTGCAGGTGAAAGATGTAATGAAGAAGAAAGAAGAACTTCCAATTTGCAATGAAGGAGATCTCATTATGGACCAGTTAGTAGAATTAACGAGCAAAGGATGTGGATGCCTCCTCGTTATTGATCATGATTATCATCTGCTGGGCACATTTACTGATGGTGACTTGCGTCGCACATTGAAATCTAGCGGCGAAAGGATCTTCACGCTCACAGTCGGAGAGATGTGTAACAGGTAATCTCACCGGTTATTGGATTTGATGCTTTTTACACTTTGATTTCATAATCCCCGAAAAATGGATGATATTATGGTGTCTGGTTGTTCTAATGAGTCCAAGAGGAGGATCGGATCGGAGATTAATTTGGCTCCCAGTGCAAGGATGAAGAAGAAGAAGAAGAACGAAGAAGAAGGGGTGAATGAAGAAGAAGACTCTAAAATGACCAATTTGCCCTCATAATTAAATAATTAAAAATAGTTTTAATTTTTCCGGCCAAAATTGGCCGGCAATTTGGCCCGGAGGACCAAATCTGTCAAAAATTGCATAGTTAAAGGTTTAAATTGAGAGTTTTGAAAGTCACGTACTCAAATTGTCAGTACCCTAACACTCACAGGACCAAAAGTGCAATTTGCTCTATGTGTTTATACCTTTCTCTCTTGGGACTGCTTTGATTTTCTCACTCTTAATACGATGGAAAAGGTTATGTGATGATAGCAATATGATTCATTATATTATGTTGTGGGCCTTTATTCCCGGTACCGTCATAGTGTGCGAGTTTGAATCTTATACGAGACCTTTTTACTGGTCTTGGTTTGAACTGGTTAGCTATAAACAACATATGTTAATTTATCTTTTTATAGTTTTTGTCAACTAAGGTCACAATGCGAACTTTACCTATAAAGCATATTCAGATTTGAGTTGGTGAGCAATCAAGTTGGTTTACGGTTTACCTCCCTTCGATCCCGATGTAGAATATATAGGCGATAGGGTCAGTTTTGGTTACGGATCCTTTGCCCAGTCTGTTTGTTGGTTTAACTTGTAGAGCTCACCAGCTCGGAATAATACTTACAGTGGGTCAAAAGTTTCTGAGCTAATAGCTAGCCTGTAGAAATAACCAAAAGTCCCCCTCACAACAATAAATGTGGTATTTATAGAGAAGAAGATGGAACAGGTTCCCGCTGTCTCGCAGTATGTACGACACGTGGAACCTCAGGGCCCAAAGGAGGTTGGCCCTGTGCTCTGATATTCCTGAAGGTACCGCATCCTACTGGGATTAGGTCGGTAGGTCGGGGTGCAAATACCTTAAAGGCACCTGCGTACGCGGCCTTTAACGGAACTCGGCAAGCGAGACGGTCGGGAGAGTATGAGTATGAGGTCGGTGTGGATCAGACTAGTTCAGCTCGCGCAGAAAGTCCGCTACCGACCACCGTATAAGTACGGTTATCGGGAAATAATCCCCATCAAATTTATTATAAGCTAAGATCACGAAACGTGCTTTACCTAGAACACATCTTCGAATAGTAGATATAAGCTTCCCCGTAACTCTAAGATTCTTCATTCACATGACATTTATAATTGTGTTAAACATAAGAGTTTGTTAGAAAAATTCAACCCCATAGTTAGTATTCTATAATCTATAATCTATATGCACGATTGGATTAACTAATTAACTAATCTTTATTGCATTATCTGTCCGAAGGATTTCACTGTTTGGAGATATACACATTACATTATAGTATTACACATCTGCTAATCATGAGTTTCCCATTCATATATACAACATTCTATCTTACCTTAACACTAATTAACTTTTTTTTTTTGAAAGGAACACTAATTAACCTATTAGATATGTTAATCATAATCAAGACAAGAGAGGTTTCTCCAAATCATACTCACTCTGATAATCAAACTCCTCATTCCCCTTAGCCCACAGCACGAAATAGAGCCCGGTGAACATTGTAAACATGCCCGCAAGGCTGCAGGTCAGAACGAACCCCGTGAGACAGTCTCACACAAGACTAACCAAACGCAAGCAGTACTATATATACGTATTGATGTAAGCCCGTACCTTCCTGTAGTGACCGAGTCTCCTAAGATGATGACGGAGAGCATGATGGAAATGACAGTTCCAACCGGGCCGAAAACAGCCACCATAACCGGCCCCCTTTTCTTCATTGCCCATGCATTGAAGCTTGTCGAGGCTCCACTTATGCACCCCGCCTGTATGTATACGTTAGAATCCAAGATTAGGCCGAGGTCACGAGTATACTGCACACAATAAACTCGTTTCTTTCTCTCTCTCGAGACTCGAGAGTCTGAATATGAACAAGGAAGAAGCAAGGAAATACCAGAAGAGAATAGGCAACGAGGGCGTGGACGCTTATTTTGGAAAAACCAATCTCTAATCTGTGGTTTTGGATCAGCTCAACTATTACGGTTAAAACTGTACCCATCAATGATGTTATTGCAGATATGGAGATTGGTGATGGGAAATCACCCAATGTAGCAGCCTGCAATTCGTTTACTCGATTCATGCCACATTGCCACTGCAAAAGATGAGAAATCCACACAAAAAAAGCATACCTGCAAGACGATAACGCTTGATAAGGTGAAGACGGCTATGACTAGATAAAAGGAACCTATGATCTTATCGAAGTCGAATGTGCCATTGTCGTGATAAGATGGTGGAGCTTGCAATGTTTGCAATGGCTGCAATGGCACATGAATCTGTTTCGACGAGTGATTGTGGGAGCTATCTTGCAAGACGCTCATTAGTATAGCCCCAATGACACAAAACAATGTTCCCACAATTTTGGCCTTGCTGTACTTGCAACTCAGCTCCACCTTCTCCAGCCTGCTCAACCACAACGTGCAATTAGATCTTGGGCTAGGGTCACTCAACTGGGCTATAATGCACACAGATCAAACCAACAAAAAGATTGAATCCAACCAATTAGCTAGTCTAACCCATGGCCTTATAAACTCATATGTTCTCTCTTATTTTATCAGACTCTTAACACTAAGAAAGCGAAGGATTGTTTGGATACCTGAAAGCCCAGGCGATGAAAAAGATGAGCCCGGGCGCGAGATTTGGCATGGCTGTGGCAATTGCAGGCGATGTGAGACGGATTCCCTTCATAAGCAATGACTGGAACAGTGTTACCCTGGGAAACAGGAAGATCAAAATCTTGAATTTTCTTGATTTCATTGTCTGACATGATAAATAAATAGATAGCACACAACATTAGTACATTACCCTCCAAAAGAGATTAACAGAAGTTGAATCCATAGTTTCATACACAGTCTTTTAGGCCATTGGTGCCTGCAAAAGATGAAGGGAAACGAACGATTTAGATCCGCCATTGATGCAGAGAATGAAGATGAAACCAGAGAATAGAATAATTGCCTTTCTAAAATGAAGGAGAGAGGAGCAAGAACCACAAAAGTGGCAAAAGTGGAGAGGATGATGAGAGATGAAGGCTGGAAGCCTAAGAACATGAGATAACTCAGAACCACCGAGTTCCCTGCATACAGAAACTGCACCCCTATCAATCCCCCGATCAGCACGGTTTCTTCAAGCGCTTCTCTCCTTAGAATTCCCATCTTTTTAACCCTTTGATCTTCTTCTTCCTGCTCCCTATCTCTTTTTTTGTTTGTTTGTTTTTGTTTTTTTTGTTTCCCTAAATGTCTGTTCTAAGCTTATGATTCTTGGTTGTATTTCTCCAGGTGTTTCTTGAAAGGTCTGACAATGATTATAGCAGCCTGGGGAATCTACTTATCTATCCTGTACTGCTATTCAGCTACCTAACATTCAATATAACATCATAACTTTTTGCCAGTTTTTCCAATCTCTCACTAAGTTGCTGATTTCTCAGCAACCAAGATGAGGTGATGGATTGCTATGATGGGGATATGGTTTGGGAGTGAAATTCCCAAAAGTTTGCCAATTTCTTGATTGTGTCTCTCTGTTTTCACCTCCCATTTTTGGATGGTAATCCTTTGTGTTCTAGTTTTAGCGGTGTATATATTTGTGACTTCCCAAAGTAGTGGCTATATGTTTTTTGTGGAATGAAGGGTTCATGAGTTTTCTTACTTGTTTGAAAAATTATCATGTTTATTATATACTTTAAAATTCGATTGGTCATTATACATTTATTACCTTATTTAGTCATCCAGACAATTTTTTCACTATTTCTTTCTTGGCTATTGTTAAAAATGCACAAATCTTAACTTTTCAAAGCAAAATTGTAAAAATTATTTGTAGACAAGGCAAGAGAAGTTTAAATGTTTGAATTGCTCTTGTATTTGGCTATAAAATTGGCTAGACTAATTACAGTCTAGTATTAATTTGGTCCAATTGAAAGTCTGAGAATCAATTATGCTCTTTTGAAATAGTTGAAGAATAATTTATTGTACGGGAAAGGTGTTCTTTAAATGAAGAACACCTTGTAACCCTAATCAATTAATAAGGTAAACCAACTTAGATTGTTCATAGCTGACCAGTCAAACCAAGAAGGCCAATGCAGCTCCCATGGGGTGTTGAACTTGATAGGAGGATGAGCGAATATGTGATTCTAAGTCCTCAAAGAAAAACAATACCCACAAATAGAATCACTAAAGTGAGTGAAACAACTATTTTTTAGAACCATGTTGATCAAATGGTAGTTCAAGAATTCAATGCTGTGATATATGATAAACATTGTCCCTGTAGGGCACTAGTATATCTTGTCTTGAATATCAATATGATTGAGGATGTTCCAATATCCAATGAAACCAACTACCTAGCAAAGGGTACAAGGATAAAAAGGTTGTTTTTTACTACTGTTTTGAAGTTCAAGAAGTTATTGATGCAGAATGTTGCTGCAGTGATGGCAAAAGCTTGATTTTCCATTCACAGGAAGTGTCACCTTGGTACTGAAAGACCCAACTCTAGTTCAACAACAAAAAAACTCAGCATCAGCAAACCATTCAATAGAAAGTCGAAACGGGGAAAGATGAGTTTTGGGTACTAAAAACATGAATCAATCTTTATAGAAATTTTTAACAAATATGATTTCTTGTACAAAAAAATCTCTTCCAAGAATGGTGGAAAACTACTCTTATAATTCCTTGAGGTTAAGATACATTCAAGCAGATGATCCACCAGAAACAGCAAAAACGAGTTCACGTTCCATCAATTTCATCTGGGAAAAGGAGAACTTTCGTCACCAAATTATGGTTGCAAGCTAAATCAAAATCACTTAACATACAGGTTGTGAAATTAGTTGCTTCGTTTATGAAACTGGCACATTTTGGAGAACCCTAATAACAGTGTCAATCTGCTCTATGCTGATATAATAAAGAATTACATAGTTGCACCACAAACAATGTATACAAACAGGATTCAATGCAGAATGATAATGAAATCTTATTTAATATTCATGTGTTTTACATCCAAAAAAGGAGACAAACTTCAGGCAGAAAAAGTATGACCAAAGTACAATTAGCATGTAGAATAAAATCTAAACTTGAATTCCCTACTAACAATAAATATATTTTCTTTTAGGATGCTAACAAGCTTTCAAACTTCAGAATAACACACTGAAGCATAATTGGATGATCTCTAATGTGCCAGTATATTCTTTCATTCTTTTGGAAACTCATGTCCCTGCAGGAATCAAATATTCCAGTCAGATAGGCAGATAGCTCATCAGTCCTTCCACCCCAAAATATGGTGCAATTTTTTCACTTTAGTGATTGTTGGATATATTTAATTACAACAATTTCAGGGACATGAGAACATGTAAAGCAGTTCTATCTTATGGTAATGCTTTCAAAGATGGAAACATTTTAGCGAGAGGTCTAAGGTTAGGGACAATTATTTTAGAACATGAAGTTAAATAAGTTGCAATTAGTTTTAAGCAAAATAAATGGTTTCTCAAATAGATATTGGAGAAGAAAATCTAAAGTATTTTCATATAAATCATGTGATCCAAAACCGGTAAACAACCTTGATGTTGGTAATCATGACAAGACCCCCACCCACCCCAAAAAAACAGAGGTTGTTTTGGACCCTGCAAATTTTCTATTATGGATATTCACACAAGAAATAAAGAAACAACTATGTTCATGCATTATCCACACAGCACACTTTAAATCAAATAGCAGACTGAAGTAATCCCTCTCTTTTCGGCAAATTAATTTCACTATTGAGCAGCAAATAAGTTAATGATTTTTCATTGCAAATATAATGGCACAATTTTCATTTAAGTAGAGAAAGGACTACATCCCCAGTAGTTCTAGTTTGAAACTATTACTTAGTTGTTGTTTTTTTTTATTCATACATTGGGTTTCTCAGCTAAGCCCCCATAACCCTTGCCTGTATTACTTAGTTACTCGTGCATCTTTACACTTTGTAAGTCACTAAAGCATAACTATCCATGGTCTAGAAGATAAAATTAAGAGGCCTGGAAACAGAAACAATGCACAGACAAAGAAAGGCAACAAATTTATCTAGTCCATGATAAAAAGAACATACTTTTTTTTGTTATTTGGGACTAATAAAAGAACATGCTAGAGGCCTGGAGAGGTGCAGCAGAGAGTACCCTGTGTAAGAGCTCTACAGTTCCTAGATGTTGAGCTCAAGCACGACGTCATCCTCGCCGTAGCTACGGCGCTGTGCAGCGGCAACATTGATGCCGCGCATCCCAACTCCGACGGACACCTATTATTATTCATCATTATTCACTGATCCTTAATGCAAAAAAAAAAAAAAAAAAAAGATATTTGTACAGATACACTGGCATATACGGAGAAGCAACCTGGAGAAGGAGAATTGACGAAGAGGAGAAGAAGTTGATCTGGACGGGAGAGAGGATTTGGGAAACGACGACGTAGTGGATTCTAATTTGGGCTTAATTGCAGATCTGATAGAGGAAATGGAAGCTCGATTGATGATTCTGCTGCATCTGGAAGCCATCTTCGAAGGAATAGTAGAAGCTGAAGCTGAAGCTGAAGCAGAGCCGCAAAGACGGGAAGATTTACGGCTTGTCGAGCTGACAGTGGAGATTCGTGGCGAGGCTTTTGGACTAGGGTTTAGGGTTTTACGAACAGGTCCTCTCAGAAATGAAAATTATACATACTACCCTTTTAACTTTTAGAAACTTTGCACACTACCTAATTTGGGCCTGAACGTTTGAAACTTCATTATTGGATTTATTGCGCCATATTGGATCGTACAATTGGGCCACATAGGCCCAAAAGTGGAGGAATGCAGAAGTTAGATCTCATCTCATATCTACTTGCACTCAAAATCTTTTGGTGTTGACCCTAATTGGTAAACGATCATAATGAGATAACTAGCTTTAGATTGCTTAAATTAAAAAAAATTAATAGACTATTTTCACAATGAGTTAAACTTGGGACCTTGTGCCCTTGTGGTTACAACGAGTTGAACTTCGATTTTTGTGATTACTAAGTCAACTGTCCAACCAATTTAGTTGAGATTGTCTCCAAATGGACTATTATGTTAACGCAATTGCAAAATTGGAGAATAGACTCGTGTATATTTGCGTTATGTGTGACTAGGTGTGTAAATGAGCCGAGCAGTTTGCGAGCCGCTTGGTCAAAGCTTGGCTCGAGCTTGATCAACTTCAAACTCGAGCCGACACATTTCGTAATCGAGCTCGAACTCGAGCTCAAATGTTTTAAGTTCATAGGTCACTTAGCCGCTCACGAGCCATATACATACATACGTGTGTGTGTGTGTATATATATATATATATATATATATATATATATATATATATATATATATATATATATATATATATATATAACCGAGCGGCTCGCGAACCGCTCAGTCAAAGCTCGACTCAAGCTCGAACCAAACTCGGTCCTACTTATTATTTATCGAGCTTGAGCTAATCCAAACTCAAGTCTAGCTCAGCTCTTTTACATCTTTATGTGTAACTAAATTTAAATCAATCATACAACAAAAGGCATCTAAATCGACCCTTCTTGTATTCTAATCAACTTTACATGTTATGTTAGTTACAAACACCAAACAAGCTTTAATATATAGTAGAACATGGAAAGGTGAGTTCTATGTATGGCATATATATTCTCTAAAGAAGCTACTCATCATCATTGTCATCACATATCTTTAATTACTTTGGGCCCAAATTAAATATTACTCCGTACTACTTTAATCTTTTTCTTTTCCGGTCAATAAAAAGCTTATTGTTACTCTGACCAAATTAAAGGATCATTATTAGTCCACTAGCTTTAAATTTTTACCAATCTTAGATAGTATGATGAGGTTTTTCATCACATGAATTAATAATTTTCAAGAAAATTTTCGGTAGTGTTTGACTGTTTGGTTAGAAAGTACAAAACTCACTGCAGGAACTAAAAATTTGGTAAGAAATTCATATTTGAGTGACTTATAGTGGATAAAATTGATAGTCATGAAAGACTATATGTGAAAATATCACAAAATTTTAAGGACTAAAAGTAGAAGTAAAAAAAAAAAAAAGGCAAAAACAAAATGTATTTTTTTTAATTAAAATATGACATTTTTACATATAATATTGTAAATTTTATACTATTTTAATCCCTTGTCTAGATACTTTGAATAACTAGGGATCTGGATGACCTAAAACTCTTGAAATGAAGGCACGAATATCTGCATGCATGGCCGCTGAAAACGACGAAACTATACGGTCCATGATAAATATATATATATATATATATATATATATATATTATTACTAGTTTAGAGTATGCATTAAATAAACCACAATTTTATATAATACTCCCTCCGTCCCATTTTCCATGTCTTACTTTCCTTTTTAGTTTGTCCCAAAATGTTGTCCTCTTTCCAAAATTGAACATCAACATCATTCTACTTTTCCAATTTACCCTTATGACTTTTGCTTTTATTTCCAAAAGTAAGAAAAGTGAAGGGCATAATTGGGAAATGACATAACATTTACTTTAATTCCTTAAAAAGCGTGTAAAAAGCAAATGAGACAACCATTTCGGGACGGAGGGAGTAGATCATAAATCACATTAGAAAAATTTTGTCTGACGAGTTTGATCGAAATAGTATTTATAATATATTAAATATTTATACTTATTTGTTTCTATATAAAAATTATGTTTTATCTATTCAATCATCACTTCCCAAATGAAATACATATATTTGTTGTAGAAGTAAATGCTGTCACATTGTTTCCCTGCACACAACAATAATTATGGCATTAATTGAGGACCCTTTTATTATATATATATATATATATATATATATTTTTTATTTCATTTTGTGTTATGGTACTATATATGGCCTATTATTGCATGTAAGAAGCTATAAAATTATTAAATAATGGGGCCAATAACTGGACCAACAGACAAATTACAAGTATATAATTATTATTTTAGAATTGTTCACTATACATTATCATATCGTTAGAGACAAAATGGGTCATATTCATATAGACCGGTTTAGATACAATTTTGTATATTGGAGCGTACTATGTCGGATTATTCGTTTGTGTAATTTAGGCGAGTTAGTCCAAATTTAAATTATTCGTATTATTTTATTATTCTTAGTTTACTCCATTCACATCCCACGACATGTATTAAATAAATAAATAAAAATAAATAATAAATATATAAATGGACAATAATATCTTTGAATGCCAACTAATAATTAGTCCATCAACTTCACATCTCCACACATTTTTCTGGTCAACATAAAATCGTCCTTCCTGCGCACTACTAAATATTAGCCCATCACAGTAATAACTTTTTGTACCCAAAAAATGTAAAATAAATTAATAAATAATAATAATAACAATAATAATGAAAATAAATAAATAAATAGCAGTGTACCACTGTACTGTATAGTGTATAGTATCTTAGTCTAGTGGACAGTGGAGAGTGGAAGTCTTGTTTGGACCCAACATTTAAGACGATAATGAAAAATTTGTAACGCAACGGTCACGCCACGCTTGACGCAACATTGGTTTACTAAAAATAGATTGGTTTCGCCGTTTCGGAGTTATTATACCGGCGACGAGTTTATACACACTATACATTTTGATAGTGACTACGAATTTTTTTCGTCATTTAAAAAAGAGAATATTTCAATTATTGTCATCTGACTATAAAGACTTTGTTAATTTCAATACTTGACTTTCAAAAGTATCAATTTAGTACCTTGACTATGTAATTTTTATCAATTTTGGTCACTGGTTAAATTGCTGGCCAAATTTTATCAGAAAATTTTAACAGTTAAAAGATGAATTCGCCGGAAAAGATGAATTCACCGGAAAAAATAGCCTCATTATTTTAACTGTTAAAATTTTTTCGCGAAATTTGACCGACAATTTGATATTGATAAAAATTACATAGTCAAGGTACTAAATAAACACTTTTGAAAGTCATGTGCTGAAATTAACAAAGCCACTATAGTCATATGACCAAATTTGAAATTTTATATTTAAAAAATATAAATAGACTTTTCATATTGAATGTCACGAGTTTAATTTTGATCAACACTCTTTCGGTCGAGTAAAGGATAACTAAAAACTATCAATTTAGCTCACTAATTCAGTAGACAACAATATTAAGAGAAGAATCAATGTTTGAATCTCGGCAGCCACAATGTGGAGTTATGTCAAAGTGAGCAAATCCCTTCTGCGCACTTATATTTGACTTCGTATGTTGAGTCATTGCTTTACAAATATTTTGTCGGTCCGAGATGTGAAGATATCGGGTTGGGAATTCAATCTTTTCGGAGAAGAAAATGATAACTAAAAAGTAAAAACTATACCTGTAAATTCCCATTATAACCTTCAAAGTTGAGTGTATTTCCTTGATGATGGGCAATAATACATGGCTACTGTAATGGTTGTCAGTTCACAGACTCCCTCACTGCAGGTTGCAATTCTCCAGAATTCTATCAATCATACATCACTGCCTGCAATATCAAAAAATCAAAAAATATTAATTTTTTTTTAAAAAAAAAAAAAAAACCCCAACTTTTAACAACCATGTTCACCTGAAATCTTGGCTTTTCTTGATCTCTCTCTCTCTCTCTCTCTCTAATTCTGATTTTCACACACACCCATTCAGACTGTCTAAAAAGCTCGCGCCTTTCAACTTCAATTCTCTCGCCTGGGTTCTTCCCAAACCTGCATTGCGTAGAGAAGTGGGGGAGGTGAGGTTTAATGGTGATATGAGAGCAGTGGGATCGAGAAGAGATGGGCGTGGCTAAAGCTTGGAGGTGTGGCGGCGGCGCGTTTGCTAACGTGGCGGTGGTGCAGCACCGGCAAAAGCAGCATTTGGTCGTCGTGACGGCGGCGAAGAAGCCGATCTCGTGGACGGCTGTGTGTGGGTTGATACTCTTCGTCTTGGGTTTGATTTCTCTCTTTACTGGCCACCTCGTATCTAACCTCGAATGGTACTCCCACAAGTTCATCAAACGCCCATGGTACTCCAAGCTGGTAATATGCTCATCTTCCTCCATTATTTGTTCAATATCTCGGGGTTATAGCCGATCAGTTCAAACTAAGAAGGTTTAAATTAGTCTATTCTAGGTTATCCTCTCGGACTAATGGGTCGTTTTCACTAGAAGTTGAACTTGTAAACTTCTAGTTACAAAGTCGATAGTTTGACCAACTTAGCTGGTGTAATGTTAGAAGTGTTGAATTTTATGTCTTAAACGAAAATGCCAAAAAAAAATAAAAATTGCCCAAGATTTTTGTTGGGTGTTTCCCGAGTTTCTACCCTCGGACACAATGAATAATCCCCTAACTGAATTGTAGGCACCTTTTTCAGTGGGACAACTGGCCTGGATCGAACTCTTGACCTTTGGTTAAGGAAAAATTGCCCCATATGGTGTTGTGTCAAATTCTGTTTTAGCCTGAATTGTAGGCACCTCTTTTTGGTGGGACAGCTGGTTTGAATCGAACCCTTGACCTTTGGTTAAGGAAAAATTGCCCCATATGGTGCTGGGTCAAATTATGTTTTAGCCTATAAATAAGTAAAAATCTTGTCTTTATAAGTAGAAGTGGAAATTTGAGCTGAAATGGTGTGGTTATGATAATGTGGCTTGTAACAATTTACTTTTACTACAAAGTTTTATGTATAATCTTCTCTTGAATGGGACTTGCTTATATAGTCTCTGCCTTGGAACCTCAGTTTTATATATACCAACCTGGGAAAATGCTGTTTGTCCTGAAGCTGTAAACCATCTTCTTCTGTTGATATCATGTAGGATAGGAGGACCACTGCATCAATTGATATTTGGAAATCGAAATACTCGGATTTCTACTATGGATGCAGTGAAAGAAGCCATGACTTTGCTCGTAAGTTAGCCATATAAATATGATGTTTGTAACCCTGATGGTCTACCATTACAATTAATAAAAGAACAGTTTCGCTCCCGTGGATGTAGGATCTTTATTCTTGTTCTTGTTTATCTCAATACATAATAGTTTGCCACTATTAGTTTACCTTTTGGCCAGAAAAAACGAAAGAAAGAAAAAATTGTTTCTAACATTGTTTATTGTAGCTGCTGTTAGTGAGCAATCATCAAATGGCTATTTACTTATTGCAACTAGTGGAGGTCTCAACCAACAAAGAACTGGAGTAAGTATAGTTTTTGTTTTTTGTTTTTTTGTTTTCTTGCAGATTGTTATGAAAGTGAAGAGAGGATTTCTATTTTCTAATGTGATGTCGTATATTGTCTCAAACTGTCATATAGAAAAGAGAATACAAAGCCCTATAAATAGGTGCCAGAAGACTACGAATAGCAAACAAGTTTTCATATATCCTACCTACCTAAATCCCTAAGATTTGTTACCTTTCAGATAACCGATGCAGTTGTGGTTGCACGGATTCTGAATGCCACATTAGTTGTGCCCGAATTGGATCACCATTCATTCTGGAAGGACGATAGGTTGGTCGGGATTTTGTCGTTTACTTGGCAGCCCATAAAGCAAGTTTCAAGTTTAATTTCAACCATTTCCTTATTTCATCTTTCTGGAATGCAGTGATTTTCTCGACATATTTGATGTGAACTGGTTTATCCAGTACCTAGCAAAGGATGTCACGATTGTCAAAAGAGTCCCGGAGAAGGTCATGACATCGATGGAGAAACCCCCGTATACAATGCGTGTTCCAAGGAAGTCAGAACCGGAGTACTATTTGGGCCAAGTACTGCCAGTACTCCAGCGAAGACGTGTAAGTAGGCGAGCTCATTTCTGCTATTAGTTCTTTTCCAATGCTCAAGAAAATACGAAAATTTGCAGGTTGTTCAGTTAACAAAGTTTGACTATCGGCTTGCAAATGATCTAGATGAAGACCTTCAGAAGTTGCGTTGCAGAGTGAACTACCATGCTTTAAGATTCACGAAACCCATAAGGAGTATGGGCCAGAAACTCGTGATGCGTATGCGCAAGATGACTACACGTTTCATTGCAGTTCATTTGAGGTTTGCTCCGCTTTAATTGAGTTGAACAATCAATATGAGTGTTTGATTAATTAGCTTTTAGTAACAACTTTAGCATTTGGTTAAACAATCAATTTTGGCTTATTTGACCACTATTAGCTGTTCCACTCCTGTAGACGTAGGCACATTGTCGAACCACGTAAATCTTGCATTCTTTATTTTCTGCCATTATTATTGTTTCTTGTTTATCTCAACAGTATTGTATCACAGGTTTGAACCGGATATGCTGGCGTTTTCGGGATGCTACTATGGTGGGGGAGATAAAGAGAGATATGAACTGGGGGAGATAAGAAAACGATGGGAGACTCTACCTGTAAGATTATAGGCCTCGGTTAATCTTGGTTTATAGACGATTTGTTTCTCTTGCATATCCCTGTTCTAAATCATTTGGGAAATTTGTCCACTTTGTGATATGCAGGAGTTAAGCCCGGAAGAAGAGAGAGTGCGGGGGAAATGCCCTCTTACGCCCCACGAAGTTGGTCTGATGCTTCAAGCGCTTGGCTTCAAGAACGACACCTTCCTTTATGTTGCATCGGGGGAAATATATGGTGGAGACAAGACTTTGCAGCCCCTAAGAGACCTCTTTCCAAACTTTTATACCAAGGAGATGCTGGTTGGGGAAGATCTGAAGCCTTTTCTTGCGTTTTCTTCTCGACTGGCTGCTATTGACTACATTGTGTGTGAGGAAAGCGATGTTTTTGTTACCAACAACAATGGAAACATGGCAAAGATCCTTGCTGGTAGAAGGTAACAAATTGCTTTTCTGTTTTCATGAATTTGGTGATCTTGAACTTATTTTCTTCCCCTCATTGTGCCAAAGGAGGTACATGGGGCACAAGAGGACAATCCGACCAAACGCCAAAAAGCTCAGCGCTCTATTCATGGCACGGGAGAAGATAGGGTGGCGTGCATTCACCCGAAAGGTTAAATCGTGCCAGAGAGGATTCCTGGGAGAGCCCGAAGAGACAAAACCAGGGCGTCCCGAGTTCCACGAGTACCCTGCATCCTGCATCTGCCGTAAACCATTTAGATACTCCAACATCGTAAAAAACCATAACTCAGAAGGCGTTCCGTCCCTCCTGGTGGCAAAATCCAGGTACAGATACCAGCGTAGCGACAAACTCTCGCGGAAACTTGGTAATGTAACATCATCATCATCCTTACTAGTAGAGATTGAGCATGAAGATTCCCTGTCTGACTAAAGGAAGTGTAGAAAGGGATTGTTAGTTTCAGGGTGTGTGTGTGTATTGTGTATTGTGTAATGTAATGGTGCTGAGAGTGCCAATTTTGGTTGTGTGATAGAGATGAATGCTGAATCTGTATATAGCTAAGCTTGTCACTTCCTGATAACTAGTTAATATTGTCCACACATATATATATAAGATAGATTATGTACCACACGAATTTTACCCCAAGTGTACTTTCAATTAGTGGTTGCGAATTTTCTTGTAAATCAAAGATCCCGAACATACTTTCAGGTTGTAGCAACAAGTTTTCCGTAAATCAAAGATATATTAAGTATAATTTCTCATATATAAAAGTCATGAGTTCAATTCTAGATTTTCCTAGTATAGTTTACTATACTATTATACATAAACAAAATATACCTAATGTACACCATCAGGTAATAAGGACCTATATGAAGGCAAAAGCAAGAACTGAATAATGCAAAAGTGAAATCAATCAGCTTCCAAAAGTAACAAATAATGGATCACTTCAAAAAGCATATTCCAGCAATTTTTGATCCAACTACTTGAATTCCATATACAAACTATTGAGTAAGAACTAAGAAGCGCCGGCCGCAACATCATGATTCTGTAAGGAACTAAATCATTATGGTAATCTACCACCCTAATTCTAACAGCTAATGCACCAAGAAGTGAAAGAAATTTCCCATTGCCATTTTCACCTCTTTAATATAAAAAATATACAACATTTACGCCGTCTTGATTGTTGTTGGCATGGAGAATCTCTGGATTGCACCGCATTTATTCCAAAAGGGCCTATTAACCATGGCTATTACCACCTGTTACAAATAACATTCTCAAATTAACTTGGTATTCAATCTTATTTTCACTACATTTTGATTTGACAACCCATTTTAGGAGGGAAGGCCAGAAGGGACGTGGTATGAACCCAAGAAAAATGCTTTTTTATTTTTACATTGCGAAAGTTGCATCAAAGATTTACCTTTAGATGTGCCTCTATTGTGGCTTTTGTGACTTCTGTCATGCGAAACAGTTGGGAACTTTGAGATAATAAGTGAGCTCTGCAAGCCTTCCAATAACTGCAATCCACAAAAGTCATGTCATGAAGTCACGATAAGTCAAGCAACACGGAAAACCTGATGTACTACTACTGTAAGAAGTTATTGATAGCAAGTGAAAATACAGGAAAGCAAATGGCCACAAATTAGAACAATACATTAAATGTTTCAATAACATGCTTAGGCCTTCAATATCTTCAAGACAAGAACAGGTTCAAAAGTATTCTATATCTTCTTTTCTCACTTTGCAATAACATTTTTAATTGCTTTCATGCAACTATTTCCTTCATGATCTTTTCCTAGTTCAAGAAAAACCAACACAAGCACATTGTGACTTGTTTATGTATAAAAAAAAAAAAAGTTACATTTTCACACAACATCATTAAGCATCTATACATGTATGTTCCTAGATCCTGTTTAGAGTAAAAGATAAGTAATTCCACTTAAAGCAGTGAATTAAGAACTAAGCATTCTAGGATACAAATTATATGGTGAAAACAGATTTACGACTTGGTTTCATACTTGGGTATATAAGATTTACTATCCAGACTAATAGTGAAAATACATAATATTCTCCAACAAGCAATCAAGCACAAAATGATATATAGCATGAAACAACTAATCAAATAAAGAAGAGCCCAAGCTACTCACCCTTGATGTTGGCTGAATCCTACGATTTGACCTGCGTGGCTCACTGGTTTCAGAATTTGACTTGTCATTCCCCTCATCTTTTATTGACTTTCCGCTGGTAGCAGCACGGTTTAGCTTGTTCAGCTGTTCAGGTTTGTTCTTCAACTTTGAAGCCTTCTTACTAGGTTCAGCAGGAAGAGCCTCTGAAGAAAAATGTATGGAATCTTCAGCGACATCTTCAGCATTCGGACCAAACTTGACTGAATCTGATTGCCCTGATTCACTCTTTTCATAGGTGATAATGTCCTTTGCCACATGGTCAGTTGAGGTAGCATCACCGGAAGTAGTCGAAGTTGATTTCAAAAAGTTATCTTTCAATATCTTACTTGAAGTGGGTGGTTTTCTAGATTTAAGAGCTTTGGATCTTGAATCAGCGATAAGCTTCTCCCTTGGATCAGTTTTAGAATTATTTCTCCATCCCCCAACTCCTGATCCTGTTGGCATCACATATTTTGCATACTTGGCCGCCTCATTTGTTGAACTGGTCTTAATGCCCCTGTTTGAATCATAATGTTTGCTTACATCCATAAACTTCCTCTTCTTTCCAGGTCTAGGCACGCCAAAAACAACTTTTGGCCCTTCTTTTTGTAAACCAGATCTCATAGTTCTGAGTGTGTTGGGCTTATTCTCATCCATCTTGCTGCCAACGTTAAATATTTTTTCATCAGCAGATAAAGGGAGCAACTTGGTTTCTTCATTTGTCCCTGATTCTGGCATATTGATATTTGTCTTGACCTTGGCCTTTTCCCTGGCCTCACTAGCAGGATTTCCTAACTTCATTCTCTTCTCCTTTGGAGTATCACCCTGCAAAGCATATCAACCAAGTAAAATAAACTGCAAAAGCCATTTTTGTTGGTAGAATATTTTACAATGCCCATCTGTACGCCAACCTGAAAAGAAGATTGCTCTTTTGAAGGGAACCACTCAATCCACTCTCCATCCTTCCAAACAAGTCTAGGACGGAGATGCCAGACTCTCACAACTGCATTATCTCCTCGAGCTGCAAATAGGTCCCCATTTTTTGAGCAATCATTATTAGTTTATCAAGGAAAATGGAAAATGGAAAATATAATAACATACCTGGAAAATTGACAGTAAATGTAGTTTCATCCTTTTTGTTCTTTTCAATAATGACACCTTCCCTCCAGCTTAAAACATATATAGAAAGATTATAGGGTTATCTTTTGAAATTGAGCTCAAATTTGACAAAAACAAATGTTAATCCTAGGCATAATATATTTTTGAAGTCAAAAGTGCCATAAGAAAACGACAAGTCAGAATGGTTAGAGCCTGTTTTTAGGACAAGATGAAACAAAGAATAAATTTCAAAGCATTGAAAGTTGAATAAAGCATAGAGGTAAATATAATTACCAATCATGGATCCACGCATCGACTTGATCACCAACAGACCAAGAGTATTCCTTAACTGCTTCTCGTCTTCTCTTTCTGGCTCCGTCAGAAGAGATCAGAAGGGTCATAGGATGTGCAGCACGTATTCTAGGCACCTCATCACCATCTATACCTAAAGGTATCCACTCCTTTAGCTGTGCTGAACCTGGAAGGACAAGAACTGATAAAGTAACAATATCTAAAAGGGGCATCAATGCCAAAGTGTAAAGAAATCATTCAAGCTCAAAAATAGAGCTCATCCAAACTAAGAGCAGAAGAGTATAAAGAAAATGCATTAAAAAAGCTGCCAAGTGCATTCAAAAGGCTAGTTACAAGCATCGGTGTTCGAATTATATACCACAGGTATATTGCTGTGCATTATGCACAGGTAGTGAGTTCATATAGTGGGAACAGCTTCTTCACATTTTCACAGTTTTAGAATCATTACATAACCTAAACCTAAATTTAATTCAATTCCAAACTAATTGATGATGCACTATGAAATAGAATGAGAAGTCCATGACATGTCCCCAAAGATGTAAACATGAATCAGAAAGCATACAATATGCAGTCCTGTTAGAAACCAACAATTAATCACATCTAATCCTTGTTCAAGAATTAAGAAAATTTTTGCCAATTTGCTGCTGTAAACCTTTAGTGCTATGCATCTTCAGCTTATGGAGTTGGTGCAATATCATACATAGACAATGCTCCTTACCTTTGTCAGATTGGAGTGTTGTGTAACAGACAAAAGCATTCCCATCCTTTAAACTTAATACATTGGCCAAGAACCATGCATCATTAAAATCACCACTATCCCTAAAAACCTACAATCAGAGAAAGAAAAGAATTACAGAAGAAACAAATATTATACACCATCAGCACACTATTGCTAAGAAGTTTAAATAAATTAGTATGGACATGTGGAATATAAGTAGAATCAAATTAAAGTTCATGTGGGAGTACTTCAATGACAATAGGGAAGCATGATGTCAACTTGTAAGTTATGATCAGTCTTAATGAACACACCTCAACATGACAACCCTCTTTTATATTGTTTTCTTTTGTTGAACTTGCATTGTTTCCATTCACCTCCTGAAAGGAAGTTGACCTCGAGTCCATTTTGGGCTTGGTAGAAACGTCAGGGGTCTTGGTCAATTCTGATGTATTAGGACTAGGAACCTTGCTGTCTCTCATATCCTTTTCAGCACAAGCAATGGATGATGAGATGCCTTCTTCTTCTCTGATACTTCCTTCGATTGTATTAGCAGATATCCCTTCTGGAAGAGGTGATGGACCCATTGTCAAGGCATGTGCTGCCTTTTTAGATGGATCCTCAGATTTCTCCAGACAAACATCAGAAGCATTTTCAACACCGTTGAAATCAGATCTCCCCACATTCACATCATTTGATTTCACACCCTGCTCACAATGTGCTTCGGAAACTTTCCAGTAGCCGTCAGGTCCCGCTTCAACCAATTCACTCAAAGTCAAAGGATCCCCCATTGTAACAACTTTTCCAGCATGTGATACTGCTTCAGAAGCTAATTCTGCAGCCTTCACTATTGCAACTAAATTTTCAGCATGCCTTGCAGCAGCAGAAGCAGCCTCAACTCTTCTCCTAGCTGCCTCCCTGGCAGCAAAAATAATGGAACCAGAACCATTGGGCTCATCCCCACCCTTCAAAATGGATGCGGGAGTTGCACTTCCCAAGTTCCTTACAAATTCAGGAAGAGAATCAGTCCTGCTTTCCAAGGGAGCATTTGTGCTTGATACCAATGCCTCATCAGCCATCTGTCTCGCCTGTGAAGCAGCACTTGATGCAATTTTGGCAGCTGCAGCTGCTGCTTTAGCGACTGAAGCAGCAGCTGCTATAGTAGCAGCAGCAGACGCCAGCTTAGTCTCAATGTCAGACATCAAGCCAGAGTTCTTTTGTTTATCCAACTGACTCCATACACCTTGGCAGTGACCAAGTGCAGCAGCCGCATGTTTAGCAGCCTCCTCCGCTTGTATCTTAGCCTCCTCAATTTTGTTCATATCGAGTGAAATTAGTTTCCTTTTCTCCAAATT